CACTAGTGCGCTAGCCAGCACGCTAGCCAGCCCGCTAGCCAGCGCGCTAGACAGGATGCCAGCCTTCGAGCCAGCGAACTAGCCAGCACGTTAGCCAGCTAGCTCGCCAGCCGCCAGCAATTGCTGCCAGCTCCTCGCCAGCAGCGCCAGCCAGCTAGCCGCCAGCAGCATCCGCCAGCTCGTCGCCAACAGCTGCTGCCAGCCACTCGCTAGCAGCGCCAGCCAGCTAGCTGCCAGCAGCTTCAGCCAGCTAGCCGCCAACAGCTTCTGCCAGCTCGCCGCCAGCAGCTGCTGCCAGCTTCTCACCAGCAGCACCGGCCAGCTAGCCGCCAGCAGCGTCCGCCAGCTCGCCACCAGCAGCTGCTGCCAACTAGTCGCCAGACAGCTGCTGCCACTTCAGCCGCCACTGCCGCTAAAACCACTGCTGCTGCCGCTGCCGCCGCTACTGCTGCAACTGCCGCCTGCAGCCGCTGCCAATGCCGCAACCACTACAGCCACAGCCGCAATCGCTGCAGCCACTGCCACTGCCACAGCTGCAGCCCCCACTGCCGCTGCTGCATTCGCGGCTACCGCAGCTTGTGCTGCTGCCGCTGCCACTGCCACAGCTGCCACCTCTGCCACTGCAGCCCCCAGCTGCAGCCACCACTGCCGCCGCTGCCCTTACAACCACCATTGCAGCCACTGCCGCCGTTACTACTGCTGCAGCTACGGCCGCCACTGCCGCTGCTGCCACTTGCGCTGCCGCCACTTGCACTGCCACCGCTGCCACTGTCGCCGCTGCTGCCGCCACTGCCAATATTGTGGCCACTGCCAATATTGCGTCCACCGCTACCGCAGCTTGTGCTGCCGCCGCCGCCACTGCCGCAGCTGCCACTGCCGCTGCCGCATCTGCCGCTGCAGCCACCAGCTGCAGCCGCTGCTGCCGCCACTGCCCATGCAGCTGCCTCTGCCACCACTGCCCTTTCAGCCGCCACTGCCCTTGCAGCCGCCACTGCCGCCGCTGCCCTTGCAGAGGCTGCTGCCGCCGCTGCCCCTGCAGCCGCCACTGCCGCCACTGCTGCCACTGCCGCCGCTGCCCTTTCAGCTGCCTCTCCCACCGCTGCCGCCGCTGCCTCTGCAACCGCTGCTGCTGCTCCTGTCGCCACTGCTCTTGCCAACCATCAGCTTAAGCCTCCACCAGCCTGGCCACCAGCAGCCAGCACCAGTCGCCAGCCGCCAGCAGCCGACCGCCGGCAACCTGCCGCCGACACCAAGCAGTCAGCCGCCAGCTGCCACCACTCGTGGCCAGCTGCCGACCATCGGCCGCCAGCCACCAGTCGCCGGTCGGCTGCCATTCGCCAGTCGGCCGCCAGCCTCGTGAGTCCCTTGTGCCTTGTGGATCGTCAATCACCATGTGCCGCCAGTCTTAGTGACTCCTATCTAGCCCCTCGGTGTGCTGCTCCTGGTAGCTCCTCTCGCGCGTACTTCCTCCTCTATTGCTCGCTACTCATCCTAGCAGCTACATCCCGCCGCTAGCTAGCCGCCACTGCCGTCTTACTGACACTTGCTCCTGCTACCCTCAGCCTACCTCTAGCCGCTGCTACTACTAGCCTCTTGCTCGATGCCACTGCTCCGGCCACAGCCGCCACTGCTACTACCTCAATTAGTGCTCCGGTAGAACCTAGTGCCTCCCACTAGTCTCCTCCTCATTTTTATAGTTCTTTGCCGCCTCTCCTCTCGACATGATGGCCTCGTTAGGGTCTGTCCCTCGGCCATACTGCCTGGCACTTCCCGGCGCTCTTTGGTTTCTCGCTCACCGGCTACAGCTGGTGAGCCCGCACCTAGACTGCACGCTCCTAAAGGATCACATTAGTTACCTCCTTGGCTTCTGGCTCCACGACCTCGACGTCTGCCTCCGGGCACTTTGGCAAGTGCCACAGCCGCAGCAGCTGCAGCAGCGGCAGCAGCCGCAGTGGGGTCTTGAGGGTGTTGGGCGTGGTGGGGGCTCTGGAGGTGCGGCCCTGGGGCAGTCACTGACCTGGGGCCACTGTGGTTTCTTTGGAGGACTGGGGGTGTTGGGGCCTAGGGGTATAGGTCCTCGCACTAGCAGACTCCTCCGCCACATATGTCGCACGTAGCACCACCACTCTCCTTTGTCCAGCTGTCCCCTTCCGGCTCCCTCACCAGTTTCCACATCCCCTTGATTGCCAGGAACCTAGTTGGTGTCGGTCACCTTCAGGACCGAGGAGTTACCACTACATTCTCTGGTTGCGAGAGACACGCTGCATGCATAGACACAGCCACCGGGCGGCACTTAGCCACTTTTGAGCGTGACCCATGGTCAGGACTCTTTACATTGCACGCTGATTTCCTGCTGACTGCTGCATCTGCCGCGGTTGCCGCGTCCTGCTCCTGTCACTCCATAGCCCACCCGACCCTTCTGTGGCACAACTGCTTAGGTCACCCTGCACTCCCCCGCCTTAGGTACATGTCCCGCCACGGTCTAGTCACTGTTCTCCCTGCGTTGCTCCCTGCCCTACCTACACGTTGATAGCGCCACTATGTACGTCCTACGTCCAGGGCCGACAGCGCGCCGCCCCTCACTCCTCCTCGTTTCCTCCTACCAAATCACCGTCACAAACACTGCACATGGACGTCTGGGGCCCTTCCCAGGTCCATGGTCTTAGTCGGGAGCGCTACTTTCTTGTTCTCGTTGATGACTTCTCTCACTTCACCATAGTGTTCCCGTTGGAGCGGAAGACCGACGTGCCTACCGTTCTCTTGTGCCTTCTCACTATTCGCACCCACCACCGCCTGCCTGTAGGTCGCTTACACTCTGACCGAGGTGGCGAGTTTGCTTCTGGCACTCTATGATGATTCTGTCGTGTGGAGGGCATCCGCCAGATGTACACACTGCCAAACTCCCCACAGTAGAAGGGGATTGCTGAACGACGCATCGGCCTGATCATGGAGGTGGCTCGCAGCTCCATGGTCCACGCCAGTGCACCCCATTTTCTGTGCCCGTTCGCTGTGCGCTACCCTGCTCACCAGCTTAACCTGTGGCCGCGCTCCCAGCGGCCACAGGTTTTGTTGACCCTTCTTTGGACCCGGTCTCCTAGTGACGCGTCTGCGTTCCACGTCTGGGGCAGCCTTGCTCACGTCCGCGACACTGGCGCAGTCAAGCTCTCAGCCCGCACCCTTCCTTGTGTCTTCCTGGGGTTTCTGCTTGACGCGTCTAACTGGCTGTTCTACCACCCGTCACACCACCGCTTTTACCACTCTCGTGACGTTACCTTCGACGAGACATTCCCCTATTACCGGCGCTTCCCGCACCGCAGCGCTCCTGTGCCTCCTCCTCCTCTCTTCCTTGTCCCTTCCCCACCAGCCGCACCACTCCCGCCCCACCAAACCCAGTCTGGTGTCTCCCACGACACTCAGTTCCCCTTGGTTGCGCCTATGGGGGAGTCGGCTGACTCTGGGGACCCAGCTGCTGGGGGCACATCCGCTGTCTCTGCAGCACCACGCCTAGCCTTGGTACCCCTATCCCCTCAGCCGCCTCCCCCCTTGCCTCAGCAGGTATACAGATGATACAGATGGTGACGCCGGTGAAGATTGGCATATTCACAACACGTTCCATGTAAGCATGTTGCGTCCTTTTGTACCTGACACATCGGACATCGCTCGACAATGATGGTTCTTGGACGTACGGCCACCAGCCGAGACGCCCATTGAGCCATAGAAGATTTTGAGCCATCAGATTCGCATCGACGGTCAAGGAGGACACGTTGACTTTCTGATACGATGGACCAGTCGCACAGATGAGGACGACACATGGGTGCCCTCGGACCAGATACAGTCACATTCGATACTAACAAATTATTTTGCACGTAAGCACGTGGCTGATATAGATCGCCTTCGCTAAGGCGAGGGGGGGGGGGAGAGGGAGGGGGGGGGGGTGAGGGGGTGTAAGGAAATTTCATTCCAGAGCGCGCTACACCGCTACCGCGTGCACCGAACCGACACAGCACCGAACTTGGTCCTAGCTTCGGTCCAAACACGCCATCCCGAAGCGCTCCGCGTCTTCGGATGCTTTCTCCAATCCAGTTCAATCACACGGCTAGGATTGCTCCGGTGTTCATGTATCTTGCCTCGTCATTCCATTGTATGACATTCTGTAATTCGACACTTTGTTATTCATTTCCGTGCTACACTGCTTGTTCATTCATATCACTGACAATGTGAATGTAAAGTGATGATGACGAAGGAGACGCAGGATTTATTTTGTGATACAAGAGAATGCGAGGGGTCTAACTATGATGCACTTCACAGAGGTACATTCCCCTGAGGTTCTTGATCCGACTCGCAACTGAACACGACTCGGGTAACTGCTGCTGATGTATTACAGGGTCAGTTACTGTATGTATCCTTGCTGTCGTGTCGGACCCTTGATCTTTTGACTGTTGGGTTATTGGCATGCCTATAGATTGGTTTGAGCGTACGCTGATCAGTCATCCTTGCCCTCCTAGTTTAGGCTGATTGCCCAGCCTCCAACATAGCATAAAGGCTGAAAATTCAGCCTTGCATGGTTTTTTTTTCCTAGTTGTTCAGATTTAGCACGGGAAAAAAGGCTGCAGCCAATACTCAAGAGTTGCACTTGCAGCCAACTCCTCAGCACAACTAAGGCCAGCATCATCATCCTCTACTGCATCTTCCATAACTTGGGGGGGCTCAAAACCATCCTCTTCCATCGGCTCCTTCCCCTTTCTGCTCTGCACAGTGGCCCGAGAGGTAGAGAATGGTCGCCTCTTCTTGTAGGCCCGCCAGATCTCCACCACAGCATCCCAGTTCTTGATGAGATTCTGTCGGGAGAAACCCCGCTCACATTCTACAGTACTGAGCAGCAGAACCACCATAGCAACCCACAACCCCACTAGGTTGGGGTAATGGATCTGCCAGTCAGTGGTCTTGAGCACTGTCGTGAGAGCCGTGAAGAACTTCTTGTCCGCAGGGCTGAGACGGGCCAGCATGGGGACGAAGTGCCGCAGTTCCTTCTCCACCCCTCTTTTGTTGACGCCTGCAATACATCGAGCCATGCACATGGGGAAGGGAACGCGGTTAACCAGGGACGGACAAGAGGCTCAAGGTGGAGGGGACACATGCGTTTACGATCCGCGGTCCTGCCGAATTTCCAGCAACTGGAAGGATCTCAGGGTTCTCCTCAGCGCGGAAGAGTTTGATCAGCTGCCGGACCACTCCAGACACAGCGCGTTCCTAATGCTGCGCTCCCATTTCGGCAGCCAGGTGTCAGCAGAGAACAGCTGGCAGCCAGACAGCTACTCCAGGGCTCCAAACCTTGACTCCAGGTGGCGCACAGTCTCCTCCACCATCTCCGTGCAGTCGTCCACGCAAGCATTGTGAGTTCCCTTCCTGGGGTAGCCGTCCAGCTCGGCGTAGTCAAAACTTACGGTGCAGGTTGTTGGTCAGCCGTCTGAATCCACCCCATCAACGGTGATGTTACTGGAACCATCAGGACCATGACGGGTGATGAACTGCACGAGCCCCTCCCTTGGGGATCCGCCAAAATCGTCGCCGCAGTCGACGTAGCGACTCTCGATGATGCTCGTCATCTGCGCGATCTGCCCTTGGACCGTGGCGTAGTCCAGCTGCCAAGAGAGGGGGTGGGATTGAGCTTTTAGAGAGAGAGAGAGAGAGAGAGAGAGAGAGAGAGAGAGAGAGAGAGAGAGAGAGAGAGAGAGAGAGAGAGAGAGAGAGAGAGAGAGAGAGAGAGAGAGAGAAAGAGAGAGAGAGAGAGAGAGAGAGTTTGTTTCGCAGTGAACACACAACCCTTCTTCGGACCAATTACCTCTCTCTGCTAGAAGATCTGGTTGAGGATGTTTAGCTGCTCAAGCAAGTCAGCAAGGAAATGAAGGTAGAACCATAAGCAGTAACTCCTCACAATTGCCAACAACTTGGTGCTGCCCATCTCTGTCACCATGACAACAATAGCTGGAAGAACAGCAAGCAGCCTCAAGACAACCTCACCACGGGAGAGCCACCAAATGCCGTGTATCCCGTGCAGCTCCAGATTCATTGAGGAAAACTCGTCTTGAAGGTCCATGAAGCGCTGGTGCCAGTGACCAGACCAGCCAAGAGACTCCGCGATGCCCTTGATGAAGTCATCCACCATGCCGAAGGCAGGGTTAGAATCTGTCGTTGCCTTTGCCGCCAAGGCCTTCCTGCGTGTATCAACAAAACAGGGTCATCAAGAAAAGAAATGGTGTAATCTGGGGTCAGAGTGTCATGCGCTCGTCACTTACTTGTGAGCGATGCAGTGACAGGAGACGAGGTGTGGTATGCACACCCTCAGTCGAGCAACAAGCCCTCCTCGAGAGGTGAGCATGACATCAGCCCCCTCGGTGCTAATGCCGGCAATCTTCCGCGGGTCTAGTCCAATAGCCTGGAGGTGGGACAAGAGTAAAGCGACAAGCCACGCAGCGTTAGCTCGCTCGACAGTCAGATGGGTGAGAAGCTCAGTAACCTGTCGCTTCTCATGAATGAACGTGACAAACACGATCATGTGTTTGCCACGCCGGCGGTCAGTGCTCTCATCGAGGCTGATCCCGATGAAAGGGATCGCTAGAAGATGCTCCAGCTGGGTTGTTTGTAGCCAGGTAGCCAGCGCCTGTGTGAGCTGCCCGAACCCGTACCTGCAACCACACTATTAACCAAACGCATTAGCAACCAGATCCCGTATAGAACAGTCCACAGAAACCAACGAAAAGAAAGGCTTACGAGTTGTAGTAAGTGTCGTATCCCTGCTCTGGAAAACCCTTGAACTTGCGTTCTGACAAGTAGCAAACGAGTCGGATCCAGGTCTCCATTGGCTCATTGCACCGGCTGCTAAAGTAGAGCACGTCGAGCAGCGAAGTGACATGGAGCCTCTCGAGGTCTTGGGCGATTGGATGCTAGTCAATCCGTGGCTGGGTGGTCGCAATTTGTAGCAGGTCGAGTTGCTTGGTGTACGCGAGCTGATGCCTGGTCGTACCAGCGTGCTTCTTGAAGGCCTGGACCTGGGCGTCAATCGCGCTAGTGCCCTTCCTGTCAGTCTTCCCCTTCAACCCTGCGTGAGCACTTAAACGTGGGCAACCCGCAATCAGTTTTCGTCAGCAGAAGCCATGGATACGTGCTGGACCACTGTCGCCGAAACTTGTCAAGAGCGTCAGCATACAGCTCTTCAGGAGTGAGACGCTTCTTACCTGACTGCAGCTCGTTGGAGTCATCTGGTGCGTCATCGTCCGAATCTGAGTCCGATGACTCGGGGTCCGGTTCCTTCGGGGGAGGGGCAAACGGCAGTCGAATCTACCGGTAACAAATGCCCGACTTTGCAAGAATGACTGAAGGGCGAACGGGTGGGGGCGCCAAGTCGAGAACATAAGCTAGGCACACAGGAGATGAGGATGCGACTGCTGGACACGTACACTGGACAACCGGGGGAGGTGTGGTTGCTGGAGCATGCCTACTCGACGATGGTTCCACTGGTCCGACTGGGACTTGAGTTGGGACGGGGATACTCACCAACGACGACAGCACCACATCTAGGCCGGTGCGAGCTTCTATAGGCAAGTCCTCATCGTCGCCTACTTCGTTGTCAGGACCGCCAAACTCAGCCATGGTGGCGAAGGGAAAAGCGCGTGGAAAAGGATGCAGAAACAGCCGCTGAGGACCTAACTAAGCTGGGAGGAGAAAGCACGAGGCATCGGCCTGGAAGCAACACGATGCCTGCTGTGGAAGAAAGGGTTGGAGCAAAGCGTACGTTCTTGAAGGGCATGCCCATGAAGAACGCGGTGCACCAACCCTGCCAACGATGCATGGCAAGGGGGGGGGGGGGGGGGGGGGTGTACTCCATCTCTGTCATCTGTTGAGGCACTCCAGCTGTGCAGCATCTCTAGTGCAGTGTATGTACGAGATGGGGTGTGGCATGATCATTTTGGTCAAGTACCAATCACACTACGCCGTTCACTGTATGTTGGCGACAGCAGGGGAATATGCGAGTCTGCTGCCAGGCCGCCGAACCAACACATCCCAAAACAAGCGTGATTGACGGGGGAAATGCAATCAGACAGCGGGATTTGGGGGGGGGCCTAGAATCACGTTGTACGCGGTTCCAGACTTATCCACAAAATACACGCTGATGTTACAGAGTGAACCATACTCAAAACACAGAAATTCAAGATATTGGCTTTTTAAAAAATGACTTTTCAGCATTGACCAACCAAAAAACATTGCTACCACGGAAATCCCTGAAACAATGCTGAATCTGCGGTAAAAAGTCTTATATCTAGGGGCCTGGTTGTTGGTCAACGATCAAGGCCCTTGCACTCCGTGATTCAACGCAGCACATACTCGGTATGAGTTATAGCATGATTAGCGTGAAACAATTCCTTATCATAACAGAAACCTCTCATGAGGAGTCAGATAATAGTATCTATTGTTAGCATATACAGTGGCGGAAACAATTGTCCGTACGTTTTGCATTAATTTTGGTTTTTAGGTTTTCAGACCACAATACATTAAGCCTTAATGTTTAATGGTGGTACAATTTGGGAGGGGCGCAAAGTGGATGTGTTCACACCACAAATATTCATAATCGTACGTTGGATTTAACTCATATTCCAAAAGATATACAAAGGGTACATCCGAACAAATAGTTCCTAGCAGAGAGAGCAAACTTCAAAAGTGTGTTTCTAGTTCCTAGCCCACCGACCTTTTGCCTTGATCACCGCCCGCACCCTCCTAGGCAAGCTGTCGATGAGGCTAGAGCAAACCTCGGCATGGATCTTCTCCCATTCTTCCTAGACAAGCTCTTAAAGCTCCAGCATTCCAGAGGAAGGCCTTTTATGCTTGGCCAACTCCATTTTCAGGTAAGCCTAGAGGTTGAGGTTTGATGAGAAAGAAGGCCACTCCACAGCTACATACTCAAATTCTCCAAGTCATTCATGCACTAGGCATAACAAATTCTTGGGGTCATTGTCCGCACCGAGATGACCTCAGAGGGGAAAATGCTATAGAAATGGAGGGTCAATTCGAGTTCATCATGCAAAATGCCCTCATACACGGGCCTCTCCATGCTTCCGTCAATCTTGCGTATGAACCCCACACCCGCACATGTCACACATCCCCACACTATCATCGATCCTTGTCCCCATGGTTTACCGTCTGTTTGATTTGGTGGTGTTGCAGGGTTGTGCCTTCACGAATCCAGGCAAACGCGCGGCCATTGGAGCTGAAACAGTTGATGTTGGTCCCATTTGACCAGATCACATGCTTTCGAACAATAATTGTCTACTCAGCAAGCGAATCCATGAATTGCAGCCGGTCCCTAGTATTTTTCCAAAATAGTCATGGCTTTTATAACTGTTGCACCGTGATTAGACCTGCAAAACCTAGTGTGTTTTAAATGGTGCAAGGGTGCACAGTCAACCGTGCAACGTTACCCTCAGTTTCGCGGTGTCTACGCTAGATTTGGCCGCTCTATTCGTGATTTTACCCTACAATGGTACGACGAAGACGATCCGTGATAAGATGGGCCCGACCGGCTAATTGCATCTTTGGCCACACCTCGGCATGGCTAGTCTCAAAGATACCATTCAATCCAAATTCGTCCACAATCCTCTTGCCTACGCCCAACTTTCGCGATTTTCCTAGTTCTCACCCCCTTGCGCAAAATGGTGGGTCCAGGAAGAGTGCAAGAAGTTCCCTACCGCAGTTTGTACTAACCTCAAAGGTAACATGCCTACGAGGGTGCGGGTGGTGATCAAGGCCAAAGGTCGGTGGGCTATGTACCAAAAACACAGTTTTGAAGTTTGCTTTCTCTGCTTGGAAATATTTGTTCGGATGTACCCTTTGTATATCTTTTGGGATATGAGTTAAATCCAATGTACTATTCTGAATATTTCTGCTATGAACGCATCCATTATGTGCTCCTCGCAAATCGGACCACCATTAAATATTCGGGCTTAATGTATAGTGGTCTTAAAGCCTAAAAACCCAAATTTGTGCAAAACATAGGACAATTGTTTCCGCCACTGTATATTTTATATATATGTGTATAGGTTAGGTAGGTGTACTACATATCTTGGATCCTACTGTAGTGGGTACAACCCCCTACTTGTATCCCTCTCTCTTCTAGTCCATCACTCTTCTCTCTCGATATTTTCTCCTAGCACCTAAAACTTTACACCATTTCCATGGCTTCTATCTTATCTTAGCTTGTTTAACATGGTTTCAGAGCAGGTCCTTCTGCTCAGGCCTGCTCATCACGCTTCCGCAATGTTCACTCCGCCCTCCTGTCCTTTCCGCGTCGCCGCCACGGCCATGTAGTGCTGCTGTGACGGCGCCGTCGTCTTGCCATGGCGGCGTCGACGCACCAACGCACGGACGGCAGCGGCTGGCGCCCGGTCTTAGCGCTGGTCAGCATGCCCGCATGCAGCCAGCGCGCTACACGGGGCGGCACGCTCCCTGGCTCCGCTGCAGAAGCCCCGCCCCCATCCCCTGCGTCCCCTCTTCCTCGCCGCAGCTGGCGGCTTACTCGTGCGGGCCTTCCCCACTGTCGCGGAGTCAGGCCACACTGCCGACTGCTGCGAGCTCCACCGCCGCCGGCGCTGTCGTTAAAGCCACCGCCGCCGCAGCTGGTGCCGCTGGCCTCGCCGCCGCCGCCGCCGCTGTCGTCGCTGCCGCCGCCGCCGCCATTGCAGCCGCTGTCCTCGCTGCCGATGTCGCCGCCTCGCACGCCCAGGGGTTGACCATGCTGGAGAAGCCGTCGCTGCTGCTGAGTATGGGGGTGCTAGGCTTAGGGGGTGTATGGCTTAGTGTGCTGTGTGCATGGTGTGTTTTCTTTTTACCTGCATTACTACTAAAACCAGTGGACACGCTAGAAGTACTTGTTGAACTAAGGACGCTAGGAAGCCATGGAATGGCATGAGGGTTTAGCTAGGAGAGAAGTGGACGAGAGAAAAGATGATGAGAATAGAAGAGAGTGGGATACAAGGAGGGGGGTTGTACCCTCTACAGTAGGTTTCAATAACACATACCAAGTTTACCAATTATATATCACAGATATAATTTAACACACCCCCTAGGCTTGGTAGCCGAAAGCACACCACACACACGGGACACTAAGCCACACACACCCCCTACATCTAGCACCCCATACTCAGCCACAGTGACAGCAACACCAGCTCGGTCGACCCCTCAGCGCGGGAGGCAGCGACGTCGATGGCGAGGACGGCGGCGGCGACGACGGCGGCGGCGACGACGGCGGCGGCGACGACGGCGGAGGCGACGACGGCGGCGGCGGCAGTATCGACAGCGGCGGCGGCGTGCGGCGGCGTGTCCCGAACACAAGCGGCAACAGCGGCAGCGGTGGCTGCTTCAACGACAGCGGCGTCGGCGGCGGCGCCCGCACCTCTCGGCGGCGTGGCCAGGCTCCTCGACGGTGGGACGGCCGGCGGGAGTCAGCCATCGGCTGCGGCGAGGAAGAGGGGACGCATGGGAAGGGGGGGGGGGGGGGGGGGGGGCGGGGCGTGGTCCAATATCACGCCCGTGGCTGGCGTGCGTGCGGCAGGTCTGGCGGCGCCACTGACGGTGCGCGGCCGTCTGCCGCCCGTCGACACTGCCACTACAGCATTACGACGCCGCCACAGAGCGGTGTCGATGCCACGGCGGGACGTCGACGGTGCGACGGCAGCACGACGCCGTCGCAGTGGTGTGGCGTCGACGCCACGCGTCAGGGCTGCGACGGCAGCACCACGACACAACAACGGCAGCTCGGCATGGCTGCCACGACGGCACGGCAGGGACGAATGTGGAGAGCAGGCCCGGGAAGGGCAACCTGCTCTATTACCATGTTGAACTAAGGACGCTAGAAAGCCATGGAATGGCGTGAGGGTTTAGCTAGGAGAGAAGTTGACGAGAGAAAAAATGATAAGAATAGAAGAGATATGGATACAAGGAGGGGGGTTGTACTCTCTACAATTGGTTTCAGTAATACCTACCAAGCCTACCAATTATATATCAAATATATAAGTAACCGTACTACCCAGGTCTATTCGCTGCATATCGCATACCAAGCCTGGGGGGTGTGTCAACATAGGTATATATTTTATATCTACGGTATATGTGTATAGGCTAAGTAGGTGTACTACATATTTTGGATCTTGTTAAAGAGGGAACAACCCCCTTCTTGTATCCCTCTCTCTTCTAGTCCATCACTCTTTTCTCTCGATATTTTCTCATAGCCTAAAACTCTCGCTACTTTCCTATGCCTAGCTCCTAACCTAAGCTATCTTGAGATATATAGCAACGTATAAAGAGCAAATAAACATAAAAATTTCAGCGAATATGTATCATGCTTTTTGTCAAAAATATAACCAAGTTTACTGTATTTTAATTTATTCTTATTTTAGCCAATTCAGTCGAAGTAGCTAAAGCATTGAATATTTACAAATACATGGATATTTACTTCCTTGTCATTCAGCCTAGGAAAATTGCTGCATCCCTTGGGAAATATTACCACTTTTGTGGAGTTTGAGATCATCGTTTACCGGGTTTCGATTCTCGGTCAACCCAGCGCCTCGCGTCTTCTGAGTGTCGCTCCTTCCAGCTTGTCCACTCTCAACCTGCGGCTCGAGTCCACTCCAGGGGTTTATCACAGGAGACTTCTGGCAGAATCCTCTTGAGAATCTCCTCTCCACCTGCTAGGTCATGGACATTTCTGACGATGACCATGGAGATGCCTCTCTTGCTGCACTCAGGCGGCGAAAAAGAGGAGGCAGGAAGCACAAAGGGCCTTTCAGGAGAATCCTGGCCGTGCCGGACTTGATTCTTGAGTTTCAAGCTGAGGATCTGAGGGAAAATGCACTAAGAAGTCTGAGCGGAATGCTTAACGATGTAAGCTGCCAACTTTCCAGCACTTATACGAATACCTCGCAAACGCTGAACAATGCCTCGTTTTCTGAGCAGAAACGAGATGATGATCAGTTCCTCTACGCAATGACTGGAGTTTTTCTCTGCTACTCCTTTGGAACCCTACCCATCCTCCTACAGGTAGGCATGTCCTTCAGCATTAATTGACTTAACAACCCCAACTGACAATCAAATGCTATCGCCAGGAAATCGTCTCTGTCTATCCGAAGTTCGCTGCAGGTGACATATCAGTCCGGGCTTCCAAACGGATCGGCAATGTCCTTACATTACTTCAGGCATGTTCTGAGTCCTGTAATATTTCTCACGAAATGGTAATGCTAACTAAATCGAACTACCAGAGTATCGCACACAACCCGGAGACACGTGGAGAGTTCGTCAGAGGTCTGATGTTGCTTTCGTTTTCGTGCTTCATAACCCCCGTCCTCCTTTGGTTGATACGGCTTGTTTCTTGATGGTAGCAAATATTGGAAGCTACATTTTGCCATTGATACTCTCGAAAGAAGATGCTCACAACGAGATCTACGAAAACCTGCGGCTGATGAGCCTTTCTGTGATCGCTGCGCTCTGTGAGGTGATATACTCCATCAATAGATTTCCGGCTTCATAAGTTCCTAGGAAACCCATGTTAACGGGCGTATGATCAGGGAATGGAAGAGATCGTCTCCCGTTGGGTTCTTGAGGCGAAAGTCTTTGGCGTTTGCTTGCACGCAGCGCACCTCGGCAGCGAACTTAGCAAAGTGGTGAGTGACATTGCATCTGCTTTATTTCACATCTGTAGTTGACATTTGAGCCCGCAGATGAGCACGACCATTATTGAACGGGCGCTTCAGCACGACGACATTCGGAAAGCACTGACAAAACCTGACATGAGAGGGATTCTTGACGGAACTCTAATCACCTTTTGCAAAATGGTTCGTCAGCGGAGCAATAAGGCAGCTCTCACATTCATGCAGTGCAAGATTTGACCTGTTCCATTTTCAGGTGAATGACATCTGCACATCTCCTGGGCCAGTGGGCATACACCTTCTTGACTTGGTCCTTCAGTGCTGCATACTCCTCTTCACTTATATAAGGTACGACGCATCTCTCTGAAGTTTAGGAGATCGTGGTTAACAGACACTTATCAGTTATGAGCCCTTTCCAGGTCCAGAGGGCCACTCCGACTAAAAGTCATGCATACCTTGAGGGACAGCCTACTAAATGAGTTACTCCGGGTACGGATGGCTTTGCAAATTTAGCTGCCACATACGATGGTTCCTCTAACACTGCCATCTTTTGCAGCCATATTCTGATACCCGAAGCAAGCGAGTCCATGTAATGATGCTTCTGAATGACATTGGCCCTATTGTTGGAGCCTCCAGAGACAGCAGGAAGCCCCTTACAGCTCTAAATACCAACACGAGGAGTCAGCTCGAGAAGATAAGCAAGTAGCACCTGCATACAGCAGATTTGCAAGTACAACACTTGCAGTGATGACAGGAATCTGCCAGAGATTTAACCAGGCCTGATGCTGATCCAGAGCTAACATATTTATATTGTCTGCTTATTTATATCATATTTGTCAAACATGTGTATCTCATATATCTTGCATAGACTGTACAGGGTCATCTCTTAGAGGGTACAACACTTAGATATATTCCTGTACTCTCTCTCTCTCTAACCATTCATTCAGTTTCTAAGATGGTATCGGCAGTAGGTAGGTCCCGCTCACCCACGCTTCCGCTCTAGGACCTACCTGCCCTAGTCGCGCCTGCCCTAGCCGCGCCCGCCCTAGTCGCGCCCGCCCTAGCTGCGCCCGCCCTAGCCGCGCCCTAGCCGTGCCCTAGCCGCACCCGTCCCAGCCGGCCCGCGCGCCTCCCAGCCGGCCTCGCGCCCGTCCCAGCTGACCCGCGCCCGTCCCAGCCGGCCCCTGCGCGTCCCAGTCGGCCCGCGACCGTCCCAGCCGGCCCCGCACCCGTCCGAGCAGGCCCTGCGCACGCCCCGTCGGCCCCGCGGCCGTCCTGCCCCGCGCTGAGTGCGGCTCGCTCGTCGTGACTCCTCCGGCACTGCACCCTCCCTGGTACGGTTCCCCCCCACCTGCACCGCACGGTACCGCACTGCACCGCACTGCACCGCCCTGCACCGCACTGCACCGCCCTGCACCGCCTTGCACTGCACTGCCTTGCACCGCACTGTCCGGTCCTGCACTGCTCCTAATGGCGGCGGAGCTTCGCTTCAACGCTGAAGGCTAGCCCCTGGAGTTCGAGGCGTGGCTCGCCGACCTCCGTCGCCACCTCACTGGCCAGCGGCAAGATGGCCACCCGCTTTCTGCACACCTTGACGGTATGCTCCCCTGCCCAGATCCCCCTGCTGTGCTGCCCGCTGAGCGCGAGTCCGCTGCAGCCGCTGCCCTTGCCCGCTCTGTCTGGCTTTCCCAAGACGCTGTCGCCCAGCTTGCCATTAGCAATGCCCTTCCCCCGTCTGAGCGCCCCCGCTTTAGGTCCATCACTACCGCTCAGGCCTACTTAGATGCTGTCCTCAAGCGCTATTCCACCCCTCCTGCTGCCTCGGTGGGTCGCCTGATCCTCCCGCTGCTCTTTCCTGATCTTGCGTCTCTCCCCTCTGTCGCTGACCTGTCTGCCCACCTACGCACGATAGATGAGACCTGGCGCGCTGCCTGCACTGACGCACAGCTTAGAGCCCACCAGCCGCCCATTACCTCTACCCTCTACCTGCTTGCCACCCGCCTCCCTGACCGCCTTGCCGCCGCCCGCGACCGCTTCCTTAGTATCCACCCCGGTGAGCTCACCCTCACCGACTTTGTAGACACCTTGACTGTTATAGAGACCCGCCACCGCTCCATCGCCCAGGCGAGCGATACCGTGCCGGTCCCTATCTTTCAGGGTTGTGCCCTCGCTCAGTGTACCTTCTCCGACGGTTCGGCCGCTGTGGCTGAGACTGCTGCTGCCGTGCAATTCCGTCCGGGGAAGGGCCGCCGCCCCAAGGCTGGGCGCGGCGGCGGAGGCGGGGGTGCAGGTGGGGGTGGTGGTGGAGTCGCGTCGTCTGGCGCTGGAGCGGACGAGGGGACCCTGCCCGGTCCAGCTGAGCAGCCGCCTCCACAGTCGCAGCAGCAGCAGCAGCCGTCGCAGCAGCCGCCGCAGACGAGGCAGGCGAGTGTCCTCCCGCCCGGGTGGCCTGGAGCTGGAGGTGGTCGTGCGCGTGGTGGTGTACTGGGTGGTGGTTCGGGAGGCGTGCATTGCCAGTACCAGATCCAGACCGGTCCTCGTCGCGGCTTCGTTTGTGGTCAGACCGGTCATACCACTCCTCGCTGCTTTCATCGCCTGGACGACCTGTTCCGTCAGCGCTTCGGCCCGTCGCCAGATCTCACGGACTGGCATAGTTTGCTTAGTCGTAGTATTCCGATTTTTGACTTGGACATGGATGCCATTGTTTTTGCTCTGCATGTGATGTATTCAGATGACTCTAGTGTGCTTCCCGCTTATTACTCATTGTCGTCTAGTGTAGGTATACCTAGCTTAGCCTCCCCTGCTACGTCAGGTGTAGGAGCCCCTGCTTTGTTTAGCCTTGGTGCCTCTGCCGTCGCCCCGTCGCCGGACGCCACTGCTTCGCTTTCCTTCACCTTGGACTCTGGCGCTTCCCGTTGCTTCTTCCGCGACTTCACTACACTGACGCCGCTTCCTGTTCCTGCCGTTGTTTCTCTTGCTGACCCCTCCGGCGGTCTGGTTGTCGCGCGCAGTTCCACCACCCTTCCCTGTCCGGCAGTTCCCTCGGGCTCTCTCACAGGTCTGCATATCCCCTCGTTCTCCAGGAACCTAGTTGGTGTCTGCTGCCTACAGGACCTTGGCGTCACCACTACGTTCCCTAGTCACGAGCGGTATGCTGTCTGTACCGAGGCTGCCACAGGTGCCCCTCTGTCCACGTTCCCCCGGGACCCGGTGTCCGGCTTGTTCACCCTGGACACCGTGACCCCCCCGGCTGGGGCGCCCCTCCAGGTGGTTGCGTCTTCCCAGGTTGCTGCTGCCTACTCCTGTCGGTCTCTCACTCACCCGACTCTCCTTTGGCACCACCGCCTAGGTCACCCTGCGCTCACGCGTCTGCGTTACATGTCCCAGTACGGTCTCGTCCTTGGTCTCCCTAGTTCCCTTCCCCCTTTTCCCTCCTCCCCCCCCCCGCCTTGCACTCCTTGTGTCGAGGGTCGGCTTCGCCGTGCCCCTCATTCCTCCTCGTTTCCCCCTACCGCCGCGCCACTGCAGACCTTGCACATGGACATCTAGGGCCCCGCCCCCGTCCATTAGCCACGTCGGGAGCGCTACTTCCTCGTGCTTGTCGACGACTTCACTCGCTACACCTCAGTCTTTCCCCTGGAGCGGAAGGCCGACGTGCCTGACGCTCTCATCCCCTGGCTTGTCTCTGCGCGTGTCCACCGAGGTCTCCCTGTCTTGCGCCTTCACTCCGACCGCGGTGGCGAGTTTGCCTCAGGTGTCCTTGGTCGCTTCTGTCGTGCGGAGGGCATCACCCAGACGTTCACCCTGCCGGACTCTTCACAGCAGAATGGGGTCGCTGAGCGACGCATCGGCTTGCTCGTGGAGGTTGCTCACACCTCCATGATCCATGCCGGGGCTCCCCATTTTCTGTGGCCGTTCGCCGTGCGCTACGCTGCTCACCAGCTTAACCTGTGGCCGCACCCCCAGCGGCCGCAGGTTTCGCCGACCCGTCTTTGGACCGGGTCTCCTGGTGACGCGTCTGCTTTCCACGTCTGGGGCTGCCTTGCTCACGTTCGTGCCTCCGGCACGGACAAGCTCACTGCACGCACCCTTCCCTGCACCCTTTGACGCGCCCGTCTGGCACTTCTACCACCCGCCGTCTCACCGCTTCTTTCACTATCGCGACGTCACCTTTGACGAGTCCGTCTCCTTCTTCCGTCGCTTCCCCCACCGCGGTCCCCCGGTTACCCCCCCCCTGCTTCTGGCCCCCTCTCCCCCTGTGGTCCCTGCCCCTCCCCCTCCCCCTCCCCGTCCCGCCCCCTCTAGTGTGTCCCACGTCACCCCCCTCCCGTCGGTTGTCCCGGTTGAGGAGTCCTCTGACTCTGGTGGTCCTGCAGCGCAGTCCTCGCCGTCTGCCCCTCCCCGGCGTCTCCTCTTTCTCCGCCTCTGCAGCCGCCGTCGCCTCTGCAGCCGCCGTCGTCCCCGCAGCCGCCGCCGCCGTCGCAGCAGCCGTTCGTTGCTCCTGGGGGTGTCGGCTTTGGAGTGGGCTCTAGCCCCGGTGGCCCTGGGGGTGGTGCCGGTGCTCGAGGAGTTTCGGGCCCTGAGGGTGTTCCTTCTGGGGGTGCTGGAGTGGAGTCTGTCGGTGGTAGCCGCGGAGTAGCTTGCGGTCCCGGTGTCGGCGTTGTACCACTGCAGCAGCAGTCCCCGCCAGTGTCTTCCCTTCGCCTGCTCGGCCTTCCGTCCCCTGACCCTGCGTCCGTTCCTCTCCTCCCGTCTCCTCCTCTCCCCATGTACGGCCCTGTGTTCCCTCCGCCGGACTCGTCCCCGGCTCGTCTTCCCCCTCGCTCTCCCCTTGTGTCCCCTCCTCTGTCTCCCGACCTGACTCCTCCGTCTCACGTCTGGTCTCACCGTCCCTCCCGCGCTCGTCCTGTCTCCCATCTCACCCGCTCTCACCCTATGTTGCTTCGTTCCCACGTGTCTCGTCCTCCCCTTCTCCCCTTGCCTTCTCCGTCCTCACTTGTCGTTGCTCCCCCCCCTCTGTCTGACTACTTTCGTCCCGCCCGTCCTCTCGTTCCTCGGGTCCTTTCCTCTCTTGTTACCGACCCCTCTGTTCCGGTCTCGTGCCTTGACACTCTTGTCGCTGTGGTCGCTGACTTTGCCTCTACCCGCCGCCTTGACTACGCCACTGCTCTGGTCTCTGACCCTGCCTGTCCTCCGTCCGTCGGGGGTGCTCCTGCCCTCGGCAGTGACGTCCTGGAGGACCGCCAGTTCGAGCTTGCTTTCCTGTCCGAGGCTGCTCTCCATCTCTGTTCCATGCTGCTAGTCCCTGAGGGTGACCCAGACGCCTTCGACATCCCGACCCCTCGCACTTACGCTGAGGCGACCTCGGGACCCTGGGCCTCCCAGTGGATAGCTGCCATGGAGCAGGAGATGGCATCTTGGAGATCCACCGGCACCTTCGTCGACGCAGTTCCCCCACCTGGGGTGAACGTAGTCGATGGTCGCTGGCTCTTCAAGGTGAAGCGCCCTCATGGAGAGCCGCCTGTGTTCAAGGTGCGCTACGTGGCTAGAGGCTTCAGTCAGCGTGAGGGGGTGGACTTCTTCCAGACCTTCGCTCCGACCCTGAAGATGACTACTCTTCGGGTTGTGCTACACTTAGCAGCTCAGCGTGACTACGAGCTTCACTCCCTCGACTTCTCCACTGCCTTCCTTCAGGGCAGCCTGCACGAGCAGACTTTACATGTACCTTCCCTCCTGGGACCCAGTGGCTCCTGCGGCGTCCTGTCTACGGCCTGCGGCAGGCTCCCCGTGAGTGGCACGACACGCTGCGGGCTACTCTTGCTGACCATCAGTTCTTTCCGTCCTCGGCAGACCCCTCACTCTTCGTTCGTGCTGGCCACACTCCGTTCTAC